TTAACTCAGTTGCTCCCATAATTGATTCAAATCTATTTATTTAATAATTATTCACCGTCATACCTCCTAGTAATTTCCTTAATTTTTTTATCCACTTATCCTAACCCCTATATAGAAAATACCTAATCCAATTATGTGTAGTTCCAAGCTCATGCCTAAAACTATTTTGTCTTTTATAATTTTGTCTCCATAAAGAATAACTTTTTTCGTATTATTTAACACAATAATTTTTTATAAACTAACGGATTAATTATTGTTATTCCTTCAGCTTGGCAATTCAAAACTAACGTTTTTGTTTGATATAAGTAATGTTTATATATAATAAATAATACTTATAAAATAAATTCATATTGCTTTTCTTTCTTGAAATGTTTTAAAAATTAAGAGTCCAGCTGGTTACTATTTTGGACTAATTTTATAATTTAATATATATTTGAATGCTTTATTAAAGTTAATTTATAATTTAATAAAAGTATTGACTACAAGTTTTGCATGTGTGATATAAAAATTAATTGTTTGAATTCAATGGTGGGTATAAATATAACATTGTGGGCTATGTAATATATATTAGTAAATTAACAATTTTTTATATTGAATATTTATTGAATTTTCAGGGTTCAACGATATAGCTATTTTGCAACAGCTGGTTAGGTGGGCGATGCAGGTGCGGCGATTAAAATATGTCTAATATTGAGGAATATTGGCCAGCTAAGGTAGTTGATACACAACTAATAACTAGTCAGAAGTCTAACTAACGGCAATGGAAGGAATTGATGAGGCAGCTTGAAGTTACTCAAAGTAGTGGCTCATCAACTGCGATGTGGAAGGAGGAGTCCACCACATTAAAATACCTAGTAAAGCAGTTATAGATCAAGTATTGGAGGATTTAGAAAAGGAGAAGGTGCAGAGGGTCAAGAAGTAGGTGCATTCGGTCTAGGAACTAGAAATGAAAGAGGAGACCGCCTTGTAGACTTCTGCAATCAACATATTATGACCATAACTAATACATAAAATACATAAAATTTGCAAGAGAGAAATGTGGTTTTATTCGTTTTAACTCTGTGTTGTGCCATATTGTATTAAAGATGACCAAAAATATGTCCCGCTCTATTACTTTGAAGGTGAAACAGAAAACCTAAGACAGCGGGCTGTAAAATTAGAAAATTGGAACTTGGAATATCTCAAGTTCTGTTTTAAAGTGCAGGGTATCAGAAATGAGTTGTTTGCCAGTGCCCCTTGCACAGCGACCAGTCTTATTTATGCTTATAGTAATACCGTATCGTACTCCAACGTTTTACCTATCAGCCAATGTATAACAACTATGTACAATCCAATGACAAATGGCAATGTAATGTCACATTCAAGTCAAATGAGACAATTCTACACTCAACGTTCTAACAATAATCAAGCCCAACCACAACAGTTGCAGCAATAACATCAGATACCACAGCAACAACAAATAATTACCACTCCTCTAACTCAGCAGTCATATAGTGGCCATCTGTCGTTTAATCAACACACAACAGCGCAACGCATTAAGGAATGCTGGGCCTGTTGCAATTGCTCCGCCCTTAGAAATTATTGCCTTATCGTCCCTTAAATCCAGCCCTATTCTTCAGCTGTGCAGGAGAATTCTTTTCGTATTATTATTGCATGGGAATTGACAAGAATACGGGAACGGATGTGGAAGGCGCATGACACATCTAATAATGCTGCATACAAGGTTAGTGATATTTAATATTTTAAGATTGACTGAATTTATTGGGGCCTAGAATAAAATTATTATTATTTTTCATACCTCTATAAGATATAAAATCTTGATACCTCTATACCTTTTTTTTAAACAAATATATATTTATTAACAAAAATAGCATAAACATAACTTAACATAAAAACATAAAATAGGTACTATGAGTTAATCTTTATTATTAATTATTATTATTTATCTATATTTTTTAACTTCTTACAATTGTTTCAACATTTATTATTTGATCAATCGCGTTATAGCAATAAGTAACAGGCCCGTATGTTATTAAATTAAATTCAGAGTATAGTATTAACACAAAAAATTACTATTTTGATTTTATTTGCTATATAGAATACCGAATATTTGTCTTTTAATTTATTATGATACTATTATTTGTATTTAAAAAATAAATAATATTCATTTGTATATATATTTATTTAACACAGATCAAATGGAGAGTGATTCATTGCATACACGCAAAACCATACATCTATTCGGATCTGATGGTGACATTAAACGATTTAGTCCAGATGGTGTTGCCTTCGTGTACAGTCGAGAGATGCGCTTACATCTTAAACAAATACTTGAAAACGACACTATTCAGTGGAAATTCGTAAGTGTCTGCTCCTCTTTTTAATAATCACTATCCCTCCTACTGCTCATCCAACAGTGTTCAGAAGTGGTTATTACATTTCACCCGTCGTTTGTTTGACAGCGAGCAGTTGGCCGTGTTGAGGAGAAATGGACGAATCAGGTCAATGTACCCGGCTGCAACACCCATGGCCAGGCTAAAAGATGTCACGCATGCTTTGCCGCGATTAAAGGCATTTGTGTTGAAGCAAGATGAACAAATACAACAATACCAAGCTGGTGCTGAGGATGGTCCGTTAAAAAGACAGCGCAAAAGCTAGGAATGGGCCGGGCACAATGGAAGCCGACCCTACTGGCAAACGCTGGTAGCGGGCACCAGCATTACATTTCATCATGAGAAGATTATGGTCGGTGTTCACGTCAGCACCTGGGTATGTGTCGCATCTATGTACTTGATTCCTGAACCTCTTCCTCACTATAATATAGTCGATTTGACATCTTCCGATATCCCCTGGCATTTTCCAAGTATATCTTTTTCTGCGGTGAATATTTTGGAATATTAAATATCATTAACCTTGTATGCAGCATTTTTAGATGTGTAATGCGCCCCCCACATCCGTTCCGGTATTTTCGTCAATTCCCATGCATTAATATTACAAAAAGAATACTCCTGCACGGCTGGAAGAATAGGGCTGGATTTAAGGGACGATAAGGCAATAATTTCTAAGGGCGGAGCAATTGCAACAGGCCCAGTGTTCCTTAATGCGTTGCGCTGTTGTGTGTTGATTAAACGACAGATGGCCACTATATGACTGCTGAGTTAGAGGAGTGGTAATTATTTGTTGTTGCTGTGGTATCTGATGTTATTGCTGCAACTGTTGTTGTTGGGCTTGATTATTGTTAGAACGTTGAGTGTAGAATTGTCTCATTTGACTTGAATGTGACATTACATTGCCATTTGTCATTGGATTGTACATAGTTGTTATACATTGGCTGATAGGTAAAACGTTGGAGTACGATACGGTATTACTATAAGCATAAATAAGACTGGTCGCTGTGCAAGGGGCACTGGCAAACAACTCATTTCTGATACCCTGCACTTTAAAACAGAACTTGAGATATTCCAAGTTCCAATTTTCTAATTTTACAGCCCGCTGTCTTAGGTTTTCTGTTTCGCCTTCAAAGTAGAAGAGCGGGACATATTTTTGGTCATCTTTAATACAATATGGCACAACACAGAGTTAAAACGAATAAAACCACATTTCTCTCTTGCAAATTTTATGTATTTTATGTATTAGTTATGGTCATAATATGTTGATTGCAGAAGTCTACAAGGCGGTCTCCTCTTTCATTTCTAGTTCCTAGACCGAATGCACCTACTTCTTGACCCTCTGCACCTTCTCCTTTTTCTAAATCCTCCAATACTTGATCTATACTGCTTTACTAGGTATTTTAATGTGGTGGACTCCTCCTTCCACATCGCAGTTGATGAGCCACTACTTTGAGTAACTTCAAGCTGCCTCATCAATTCCTTCCATTGCCGTTAGTTAGACTTCTGATTAGTTATTAGTTGTGTATCAACCACCTTAGCTGGCCAATATTCCTCAAAATTAGACATATTTTAATCAGCGCACCTGCATCACCCACCTAACCAGCTGTTGCAAAATAGCTACCAGAGCCGAAGCAACTGCCCTCCGCCCCAGCCCCTACATGTAAGAACTACATAAGATAATCTGTGTGTCTATGGACTGTGCACTTTTCATCATTCCCCATCATCTCTTATCGTTTTTTGTACTCGTTATTCGCGTTTTCTTTCGTTATTGTCTATAATACATTTCAGCGTATTATTATTATTTATTATTAACTAAATTCCTGGCCAATTAAGATTATGTTTTGACTACATCGATGACGAGATACTGATTCTGAATACCATGAAAATATTATATTATGCTTGTGTGTCTTGTGCCTATAAATAGTATGTGTACACTATGTGTAGGTAATCAAAACTGTAACAATTTGTTAAATTTGTTTAATTTGTAACCATTTATTTTTATTTCTAATAAAAAAAAAAAATATATGTACAAACACAAATTATATTTATCTTAACGATTTCTTGTCGTGTATATATTATAATTTACTATTACAATAATATTATATATTTTAAATGTTACGATCATATTGGATCTTTATCATTTTCCATTATTTTATATTATATCATTGCATTTATTCGAAGTATTAATATGAATATTAATTGTTTATTAGGTTAGGTTAGTTGTATTTCTGTATGTGTACTTTGTATAGTTCTTTATTATTTTTTCCTTTTTGTTTATTGTAATCAAAATATGTAAGTTTCCGTTCATGTAATTTGTCAATTGGATTATACCTTATATTCAAAGGGCTCAAGCCTGTTAAATCAATTAAATAAATAAATAAATAAATAAATATTAGTTTTAAAGGATATTATACTGAAAAGTGAACACTTGTAAAATAATTTATTGATGTATTATGATGTATTGTTTATATTTAACTTTTGTATTGACCCATAAAAAATTGGAACTTATATTATTTTAATTCATGTCGTTTTATTTCATATCAAAAAAAAAAAAAAAGTAGAAATCTCCTCGTGTCTAATTACAGTTCATGTATACGGTAACAGTATACCTACCTAATATAATATGAACATAATAAAAAAAACATAAAATATTATTATTTTATAATAATATATCGCGAATAAAATATGCTCAAAACCGTGTGTGTCATTTGCAGTAGGTACAAAAGCACGATAACTATTGCATGCATAAAATATAAATAGTTAAAATGTATAGGTAATATTATATTAAAACTATAGTTCATATATTATATATATATTTTGACGTCTGAACGACAATATTTAAGAAATATAAGGCTTGGGTCAAAATGTAACGTCTGTCATGTATCAGACGTGTGTGACGTCAAAGAGACAGTCAATTTGAATGACTTTCAGTGCTATAATAATTAGTAAATCAGGCAATTCGGTTGTCGGTTAAAATAGCGAAAAGTAAATGATTCTACTCTATATAATATTTTTATTAAGCTTGGCGCACTTCATCTATATAATATATGAATCGCATATACCACTCGTTCACTAACTGATCGATACAACTCAAAAACTTCAAAACGTACACATTTGGAATAGTGGTTCCTCTAATGATCTAGATTGCACATCAGATTTTCCATCAAGGATTTTCCGATATTAGAATTTTAAAGAGCTGGTCAGACAGGGAACTTGAGATTAACAGTGAAAATAATTTTTTTTTGTATATAAATGGTTGTCATTGGTTACTCAAACAGATCATAACATTGATGAGTAAATATGGGTACTATAAATATTTCGTATATGAAATAAAAAGAAATACCAAGTTGCAAGTACCTACCTAGGTATTTATTTGAAAATAAGTAGGTCGGTATAAGGGATCATCTTGAGTGCCGGAGTGCTTACTTAGGTACATATTTAGGTACAGTGATGGGAAAGATCTTTCTAAAAATGAATTAGTTCAAGTTCAAGACATTAAATATGAACTAGTTCAAATTCTATTTCATAGTTTTTAGAATGAACTAGTTCAAGTTCTAGTTCATCTAGAATTTGAACTTGTTCAAATTTTAGTTCAGTAGCTCATAATTTTTAAAATGATCAAAAATTATAAAAAGTTACTAAAAAAATAAAATAAAAAAATACTTAAGTAAGAAATAAAAAAAAAACGTGAAAATACGTGGGACTACCGACTATGCGTCGAAGCCGGCGATACGTGGCTCTGCAACGTACTTTATCCTATGTAACTAATTAGTAATTGAAAATAATAATTATAGAGTAGTGGTTAAAATAATGTTGATTAATTAACTGAAACAAAATCATAATATTAAAATTTATTTTGATCGTGTAATACAAATAGTTTTATATTTTTCCAATCACCCTGTATTCTGTGGAACGCGCTGTATACAGCAAAAAATAATTTGTATGGACGTGTTAGTCTTGGAAATGTTATTTATTATAATTTATATTTTATTTATTACACTTCATTGTATCATGTCAAGTTACAACAGAATTATAAAAATATACCACAAACGGTATGGTACCTACTATTCTTACAGTCGAACAACGGCGCGGCATCATAAAATATTAAAAATCCTTAGTCACAATTTTTTTTTATAAGCATTTAAAGTTCAAAAATTGTATAAATATGGAAAAATCACGAAAATTAGCGAATTATTTTGAGTTAAGAATTCGTAAAAATTTTTCTTTTTAAATCTAAGATTTGAAAATTTAATACAAGATTACTCATAAGTTTGTCTACCTTTATCAATAAAAAAATCTCTACCGGAAAGTCAAATTAAATTTTCATGAGCGTTTGAAATTCAAATTTTTACAACATTGGATATTCACTGGATTTCTCATGTAGCGATTTCCTTATTTTGTTGTAATTCAAAAACGAATAACTGTAGATACATGCAAATTTCACTGAATGTTTATATTATCATTTCCACCTATACACCATACAATTTTGAAAATATTTTGACTCTTTTTGAGCTGTTTATAGACATTTACAGTTTTCAATTTTTTTTAGTTTTTTTACAAGGCTCCTGATATATTGTTACAATATCAGTTGAAAAATATTAAAAATACATTGGCACAATTTTTTTTTATAAGCATTTAAACATCGAATTTTGACAGAATTTTTCAAAATCTCGAAAATTATCAATCATTGTAATTAATAAATTATAAAATGTTCAGTTTTTATAGCTAAGGATTGCAAATTCAACACAAAGGTTCTCGTAAATAGTTCATACTGTAACCAAAAAATCTAAAAAATATATGAACACAGTTATTTTTTACAGACATTTTAAATTCAAATTTGGACGAAATTTCATATTAACAAACCTAGAATAACTATTTTAGTTATTTTGTTGTGATTGAATAATATTATTCGTGGGTACTTGAAACTTCTAAAGTGTACTATTATATATCTATGATAGTATCACGGTTTTTGTTGATGTATAACGCGTTACCAGTACCTAATGGATATTGTGATATGATTAATTTGGAATTTATTATAGGTACCCATTATAGGTCATTTTTTTCATTTTTGTTTAATACCATTGATATGTATATAATATGTCTTATACATAGACTGACATACCGTCTCCGCTAAGAAACGTTTTTCTTATACAATGATATTATATCGTTGAATTCAAATTTAATATCATCCATTATACAGTGAC